AGACGCTCGCTGATTGGACAAGCGGAAAATCAGTCACAGCATGGCCCCGCCCCCTCCCTCCCATTCAACCACTGGATCTAATGTAGCCCTATGTTTACTACAGAATTAGTGCATAGCGGACGACAGTCTCCTGAACTGTGAACTCCGAATCACAAAAGATAACCTGTTAGTTTTGCATAAAAGAAGAAAAATATCCCAAACTCAACATGCCCAAGAGAAAGGTATGTAGAAAAGCCGAGCGCGGCGTTCGGCTACACTTTTGCCCTTACTAATCAGTCGTGGAATTAGGAAGCCCTCGAGACAATGTTTTTTTAATAAAAATCAAGGCGACTTCTTTAGAATCAGTGGGCAGGTAAAAAATTGTTGTTAATTTTGCGATTTTTTCCTGCCGGATCGCGGTGTTTTTGTCGACGGTGGTACGTTAAGCAGAAGGGTTTTAGTTGAGCAGCGCTGTGCTGAAGCTCGGCTTGATCTCATGCCCGTGGAACCGCAGCCATGCTGCCCTCTCTCTCTCTCCATCTCCAGCACAGCGCAACGCGAAAACCGACGATTATAAGCGCAATCGTGGCTCAGTCGCCGTTGAATGGTGATTAAAAAATAGCTAGATAACTCTAATTTTCTGAATGGTGGCAATTTTGCGAAAAGACGGTCGCGTTTTTAAACAATTTTAATGCATTTTCTTTGTTCGCCGTGGAAGAGGAGTGTCATGACTCCTGCCGGCCGCCAGGTGGCAGCGCTGAGGCGGGATCATCGCGCCCCTCCTCCTTGTTTAAATGTGTGGAGCCCGTGTAGTGAAATGCCTTCGTGAAAAATAATAAATAAATAAACAAAAATCGACACACCATTTTGCGCTGCTGTCCGCAGACAAATAAACTTATTCACAACTCCTCTGCTAAAGTTAATTTAAGCTTTAATAAACGAAAAAAACCCCAGCATGTTGCTCATATACAAACGTGCAGAACAGCACATCCCAATGTTTATGCAAGTTGCCTTTTTGTTTTTCCCGCCTTTCATGTTAATAAAATTATAGATCATGTTCTAACTTGTGATATTTGTTTTGCTGATTTGCAGGGAACTGATGGAGAAGTCAAGGAGGAGGTGAGAAAGGAAAATTATAAAATATCTAAAGCAATTTTGGGTTTCATATTCAAGTAATCAAAACCAGTACATATGCATTCCTGTATATATACATTTACATTTATTTATTCAGCAGGAGCTTTTATCCAAAATCGAATTAAAAACAAGAAACACCAAATATTTTGTCATAAGAGCCAATAATATTTGTAGTACACTGTGCCAAGTTTACTAAGTGTGCTGCTAAGTAGCCTACACAAACTAGAAGTGAAATGAAGAGAAGGAACATGATTTTTTTTTTTAATAATTAGGATTTACAATATATAACTGTTCTCTCCTACTTGGACTTGTACTTGTACTTAAATAATTCAATTTTTTTCCTTCCTCTTGTAGCCTCAGAGAAGGTCTGCTAGATTATCGGCGGTAAGTTCTTTTCTTTTTAAAGAGATTTTTAATGTTAACATTATATCATTATTTTATTTTTATAAAGTCTTTGGCCTCAAAAGACTTGAAGAACTTTAAATATAGTCTTGGAAATTGTTTTAGCACTTTTTGTAATAATTGTCAATTGAAGTCCTACAACCAACACTTTCAACCTACCACTGATCGCAGAGCAACAAGATCAGAAACCATCATTACTGCACAAGGTTTTTGTTTGTTTGTTTGTTTTTTAATTTTTAATTTCAGCATATTTTCTGTATATTTTTTTTACTTCAGCATAGTTTTGCCAGTCATTTAAGGTGATGTGTAGAATTCAGGATAGGGCAGAACAACATAGACCATTCTATGTATTATTATAACTATTTACTTGAACATGTTTATTGTTTAGATATCCTTGTATATATCAAAAAGTACATTTGTGAATGAATCATGTTTTCATTTCCCTTCAGAAACCAACACCTCCAAAACCTGAACCCAAACCGAAAAAAACTCCCAAGGTATTTACACTTTTTATAAACACATTTTTGCACTGATGCTCATGTGTCACTTGTCTCCATGATTTGGTGTGTAATCTGTGTAATACGTATTGCTCTATATTCATTATTTTGCTCTGATGTTTCCTCTCTGACAGAAAGAGAAGGAAGTGAATGATAAAAAGGAAGAAAAGAAAGCAAAGGCTGAGGAATCCAAGGAGGAAAACCAATCAGAAAATGGGGAGACTAAGACCAATGAGGTATATATGTATAAACACAACAGTCTACCTCAAATCAGCATCTATCATACATAAACACACCTTACTTGTCCCACAGTGGACATAATAAATCATGTCAGGTCATGATATTTGTTTGTGTATTGAGTTTCCTTTCCAAATACTTTCCCAAAAATGTTCTAATAACATTGCAAAAGTACTTAGTAACATAGTTAAATTAATTCCCCAGATTTCAAAACAAAGACATCGATAGCTTAAGCTAAGGAGAGTTTTCTAAACTTTACCTCCTTAAGATTCGAATTAGTGCAGAGGCAGTCCTGCTTGATTCTTGTTGATGTTGTTTTATTAAACAGGTTGAAAAAACTCCAGACGAGGCGGCGGAGCCCGAGAAGGAGGACCCGAAGACAGAGTAGCACCACGCCTGTCCATCCATCCGTCCATCTTTTCCCTTTCCCCCCCTTTCCTTTCTTTTATCTTCCTCTCTCTTTCCCAGTTTTCTCTCTCCCTTTCCAGTTCTCTCAACAACCTCCTCTCTGCCCATCACCACCAGAGGAATATTTTTATCAGCGAATTTGTAAATACTGGTTCAGGTTTTTAGCACAAAAACAAAGCTGACTAAAACGAGTCTTGTGTTCGGCCGCAGCTGTATCAGGTGTCTACAACACGACAGGTGTGAAAAAGGCGGCATCTTTCTATAATTTTGTTGATTTTCTATTTTGATTTCTTTTTTTTAAGCGGCTGGTCTGTAGCTTGGTTTTTGGAGTGGGAGGAGGCTCTCAGTCTGTATGTCCGTTAGTGCTCGTGATGTTTCTGTATGGGGTTTGTTTTTATTTTTATTTTAAACGTAATCGATTGTCTTTAAGAAAGAGGGATGAGTTAAACAAATATAGAAGAAAAGAGAGAAAACAACTAAAGACAAACTGCTTGCATTCCAGGTTCAGCATTAGATGGTGACTCCTGGCTTTTTAAGAATCATACCACCTCTGCAATTTGTTGAAACAGAAAACTGGGCTTTGTTAGGAGGCCAGAAAAACCCTTCTGTTGTTATAGAGGACTTTTTTGAAATTACAGGATTCAAAGAAAAAGAATTTAAAGCGCTTTTGGAATTTTTTTAACACTGAAAATTCATCTGTGAAAAAGTACTTTGTGTCCCCTCACTCAATAAAAATCCATCATTGGAGTTTTCCTCAAAATGTCTGCTGTGGTCTTTTACACTGATTATATGTTATACACTGGGTATTATATACTTGTTTCTAAGCATATATTGTTCTGTAATCAGTTATTATCTTTCAATAAGTGGTTGGTGCAATAATATAACTCATAGTGGATTTCACCATTGGTTTACGCTGCATTTCAATCATAAGAAATGATCCTAATCACCTCAGTACACAGCTGAGACTAACACACCCTAAATGCAAATATGTTATGGCTCGACTAATATTCATAAGACAAAATAGCTTTGTACTCTTAAAGTCATTGCATATACTATGAAAAAACAAAATGCCACATTCTTCTGCTAATGAGCTGAGATGTCCTTTGGAATCATTTATATCGAATGAAGATGAAACCTTATTTCTCAGGATTTTAAATGATTTGATTTTGTAACTATTTTCCATCAATGACATTTATTAAGACTAAACAGGCCTGCAAATTTGCTGGGATGATAAGGGACTTTCAGTTATTTGAACATAAATTAAATGACCGCCCTTTGTTAATTTCTATATTTTCCCCTCTGCAATTTTATTGGTGTTCCTTTCTCTATTATTTATTTATTTGCACTTATGATTGCCATTGTAAATGCATATTTAGTTGATCATGTTCAGTTTAAAAAGGTTCTGAGATAAACTGGATAGAAAGCACAAAAGGATTCAGAGAAAACAACAGTAATCAGGTAAACACTATGTGGCTTCAGAAAAAGCTTTTTGGAATTTAGAGTGTTAGAAGTGAGAGTGTGTCATTAAAACTGTGTATTTACATTTTAATAACTATTGTAATAAATGAAAGGTTTCGATGATAAGGGACTTTCAGTTATTCGAACATAAATTAAATGACCGCCCTTTGTTAATTTCTATATTTTCCCCTCTGCAATTTTATTGATGTTCCTTTCTCTATTATTTATTTATTTGCACTTATGATTGCCATTGTAAATGCATATTTAGTTGATCATGTTCAGTTTAAAAAGGTTCTGAGATAAACTGGATAGAAAGCACAAAAGGATTCAGAGAAAACAACAGTAATCAGGTAAACACTTTGTGGCTTCAGAAAAAGCTTTTTGGAATTTAGAGTGTTAGAAGTGAGAGTGTCTGTCATTAAAACTGTGTATTTACATTTTAATAACTATTGTAATAAATGAAAGGTTTAATGCACATTACATTATGAAATGAATCATACAATAAAGAAAATATTGGAAAAAACATTCAACAACACAGGATAAATTATTTCTGTATATATCCAACATTTTGTTAAAGAACTAAAAGATATGATGGTGGTATTTTAACATTTATTCGATATATGCACATTACATAATTGTATTACGTAATATTTGTGAAACCATACCTTACATAACACATGTATATGGCACAGTGATTGATTGTAGTATGGAACATTTCATTGTTAAGATTTGATGTTTCTCCCACACACGTGACCTGTGATCCTCAAGACGAGGTTAAACCAGAAACGAGACCCTTTTTATTGCAATTACAGCTCTGCTATCGGGTTCAATAAATGACTCAACTGCACACCATGCAAAATGTCCGCCCGTGGAAATGGTGAGCTCACCTGTGCGCTCTCAGTGCGCCACTGGCGGAAGCGTGCGGTACTACAGGCGCACGGCCGCCGCGCGGGGGCGCTCAATCGAAGCAGCACGAGCGGCGGCTGCAGGCCGAAACGCTGAGAGCAAATACAGCACAGGCCGCTCTTAGCAAGCAGAGACCCACGAACCTCCACCCACCGCTCGGACCGGGCCATGGCGGCGGAACCGTGCTCGCAAATTGAAGCCGGTGGGCAGCACTCGGTTTTTTCTGCGTCTTTATCGCTAGGAAGACTTTAAGCACTGTTTTAGCATTAGCCTTCGAGGCTAAGCTAAAGCTAACGACTGGTGTTGTCGTGTTTCTCTCTCTGCAGAACTTTATTACCTGATCGCCAGATTCCTGCAGTCTGGACCATGTCAGAAATCCGCTCAGGTGAGGCCGAAAGTAGCGTGTGAGTGTCGGTGTGTAGCGGTGAGTGTGTGTTACGGTGTGTGTAACCTGTGTGTTTCTGCAGATGCTGCTGCAGGAGCTGCACGAATACGAGGTGAGTTTCATCCCTCTTCTCCCACTCAAACCCGTTATTTCTCTCTAATATCCCAACATCAGCATCTCCTCTTCATCTTCCTCTTCGTCTAAATCCTGCGTGTGATGTGTTTTCCCCCCGCTGTGTCTCTCTGTGTGTAGATCATCCCGAAGCGCTGGAGCTGGGATGGAAAGCAGTTTAAGCGAAGCTTTGAAGACTGGGTGAGATTAAATAAACACTATCGCGCACGTGAAATTCAGCACTAAACTCTCACAGGTGCTTGGCTCACTTATATTACAGCGAATAAAACTGAAAAAGCGCTGATTTGAGGGCACGGTGCTGGCAGTAAGAATATTGCTATAATATACACGAGGCTTTGTTGTGTGGGCAAGTTTTTATTTCGGGAATTGAAATAAAAAGTATTTGTTTTGAAATGAAAGGCTTTGTGCGTGCCGGCCGGAGGCGTTGCGGCAATGCAAATATATCGAGAGGGGATTGGTGGGTTCCTGCGTCACTTAAAGGCGGCAGCCAATCAAACATCAGTTGCTACTTAAGAGACTAGGAAGATGGGTGGAGAAGGCTTCTGATTGGCTGAGGCGAGGCGGACGCGTGTGTGTGGAGGGAAAAAGAGTGGTCTTTCAGGAATGAGCGTAAATAAATATGGGTTATGTTGGTGAAATAAAACTAGATAATAAGACTAATAATATAATGTAACACGTTGTTGCAACACTTATTTCTGAGCAGGGTTATTTTTATTTTATTTTTTTATCATGATGTAAATAAGCTTTGCTGGGCCACTTACACTTTATGAAATACCTCTATGTGTATGTTTTAGGTCTTGTTAAATCAGCACATACCTGCGGATTACCTGTTGCGTGTGTGTGAGCAGATGGGCCCACTGATAGATAAACACATTCCTCCCAGTGTTCCTGGAGTCCACAGTTTGCTGGGCACAGGCCAACAGTCATTACTACGGACAGCAAAAAGTGAGATGCACACTATATACAGCAAACAATAAGAAACAACAAAGAAGACTAGAGAACAGCGCACATGATCACATTATCACTTTCCCTTACATTTATTTTCTTCCTCTAATACAGTTAAATATTTGACAAACTTGTTCTCTCTCTCAGGTTCTTCTCATGCAGTATGGAGTGGTTCTGCAGTAGTTGCTTTGCACAGGGGGCGGCCCCCAGAACCACCTCTCAACTGTGCCAAACCACCAACTATAGGTGAGTCCTGCCCTCCCCATTGGTGTATTATGTTCTTGCACTGCTGTTTTGGGGTTTCAGGAGTCACTGGTGGGTTTGTGAACACAGAGTTGAATCCACTCTTTCCAATCGAAAATGGTGCTTAATCATAGCTGATTAAAGTCAGCATGAAATGAAAATTCACCCAATCTAGTTTTAATATTTATTTAATTATTTAGATCTTGCAATATTCAGTCAATGTCATAAATTAATCTTCTGGTGAAAATATCAGACTTCCCTCTGGTGATGTATGCAAAACTTGTCCAGTCATTTAAGTCTGCTTAAACCTTCCACAATCAACTGCATGCTCATACATTTTGAGTGCAATACCCATATTTTTTCCCCTTATTTGATAATCCTTTACACTCGGATGTACGTCAAAATACAAACGAAAACATCTTTCGCCATTTTGTTTCATTGTGACTTTAAAGGCTAGTCACTCTACACTTTTCAGTCTATTGACTTCTATTCATGTGCATGCAAATGCGGGAGACCAGAAAAGCAAGATCATGCAATTTTTGCTGGCTTCCAAAATCCAAGTTTGGTGAACTTTGCCCTGTGAATTTGTATCATGTGAATACATGTGACCAACAGAAAATTGACATGTCACAGTCTTACTTGAACTCAATTAAATGAACACAAATTTAAAATTTGCAGGATTTCAGTGTTACAGTAAATTGGAGTAGATTGCATATTTTTTTAACGTATTATATTTTGATGAATTTTTTTCCATATTACGATTATGTAGCGCTGTAGTTTGTCTAGTGTGACTGTAACTTAATGCTGGATGTTAACATGCTATTTAGTGACCAAATAATGTCCTTTAGACCAACTACCATTTCTTATATTTTGTGGTGGGAGTTGATTGTAATCTCTCTGCTCAGTGTCAATCATGGGTGCTCGCCAAAAAACAGGAGTGGCTCGATTTGGCCATGCCTTCCCCTCCTTAACCTATCAGCACATGAAGATGCATCGAAGGATTCTGGGCCATCTCTCATCAGTATACTGTGTGGCGTTTGACCGCACTGGACATCGTATTTTCACGGTAAATGCATCTGATTAGAATATTGCATCTGTTGAGTAACAAACTGTGCCTGATTTAGACATAAAAGTTTAGTGTGTAAAATTGTTGATGTTAAAGTAATTTCTGAATTCAAAAAGTGGTGACGATTATAAACTATGCATAATTTGATGTCCTCAAAAAATTTCATTGCTCAGTTTTGTAATATGTTTTTTGTGTGTGCTTGCAATCAAGGTCTATTCATTTGTTTCTGTCAGGGTTCTGATGACTGTCTAGTGAAGATCTGGGCTACGGATGATGGTCGTCTCCTAGCCACTCTGCGCGGACATGCGGCAGAGATTTCAGACATGACAGTAAATTTCGAGAACACGCTTCTTGCTTCTACCAGCTGTGACAAGGTCATCCGCGTGTGGTGCCTGCGTACTTGTGCACCTGTGGCAGTGTTGCAGGGGCACACGGCCTCTATCACCTCCATACAGGTGTGTAAATACAAGTTTCCTTTATAAAGCCACTATGAGAGTGAAGCGCAGTACTATGTTCTTTTACACTTGAGCAGCTCATGATCTGGTGATTTCAGCGACTGATCAGCTCAGTTCACAGTAAATGCTGCTCCACACAAGCTTCAACTCTACATCTTCTCTAAGTTTGAGTCACTTATAACATGCATTTGTGAAGACAACGCACACCAATCATATTCCCAAACTTGTAGAGAAGCACTTAGAAACCGACTGTTGTCAACAAAAGAGAAGTTTTAAGGGCTCTTAATTTTTAACATTTTTAACATTTGAAAATGAAAAATTAGGATAGCCATAAATATTAGTATTGTACTTTTTCAGTTGTGCTATAAAATATAATTGTTATATCTATTTGTCTTCTTACTATTTTTATTACAATGAAATATTTCAATATATTACTATAGTTGTAATTCACTGTAAATCTACTAGTTAATAACACTTTATTTGATTTATTTTATATCGATATATAGTATATAGGGCTGCAACAACTAATTGATAAAAATTTTCGATAATGAAAATAATCGACAACGAATTAAACTGTCCTTTGTCAATTTTTCTGTTTAAACTGTCAATTTAAACTGGGCTTTATAACTCTTTTACACAATGTGTAGCATAGCGATATATCACCATACATTACGTTTTCTTAGCATTCAGTTGGCATGTTTGTTTGAAGGACAGCATTGGGCAAGATGTGGAAAAGTGTGTTTTGTCAATAAAACGAGGCTTTTTATCCAATTAACCGAATTATCAAAATAATCGTTAGTTGCAGCCCTAATAGTATACAAATTAGCCAAAATGGGCAGCCCTACAAATAAGCTCAACAAACCTGTTTTTCAATCACTTTTTATATAGCAATTTATATTGCTTTTTTCACCCCTGAAAAATCACAATTAGATTTTTCCTCAAATTCAGCAAGTAATATTAATTCAGATGATTTTGTTTGTGTGTTTGAAGGGATTTTTCTCTCTATCTCTGCAGTTTTCTCCATCAGCATTAGGTTCCTCTCGGTATCTGGCCACCACTGGAGCTGATGGCATGGTGTGTTTCTGGCAGTGGAACTCACTCAACATGAAGTTTGAGTAAGTGTCATTTGTCAATTGTAAATTACACATTTTGTCTCATGCCAGTAATTCACTTTTTTTACGTAGTGTAAATTTGCAATGAGTCGTGTGTTCATGTTTGCAGTGATCAGCCCGTGAAGTTTATGGAACGTTCTCGTCCTGGAGTTCAGATATCCTGCAGCTCATTCAGCTCTGGTGCATTTACCCTCACTCACACTCTAACTCCCTGATCAATTTTCAAACACTTTTTTTTTTTCTTCATTATCGTCTCTTGATTAGTCTATTGTTATAATATTTTGTTCTCTGATTCCAGGGGGATTGTTTCTGGCCACTGGAGGGACAGATCACATTATCAGAGTTTACTACCTCGGTACAGAGACGCCTGTGAAGTTTTCTGACCTGGACTCCCACACGGTGAGAGCGAGAGACAGAGAAGAAAGCCAGTAGACAGACAAGAAGGCAAGACAGATGGAGTAATGGAAAGGAGAATAATGGCCAGAAAAAGCAGAACTTGTAACTGGAAAAGGAGGAACATGTTAAAAATTAAAGTTTCAAAGTCATGACTTAAAAGTGATTTAAAAGTTTTATATTTTAATTAAGTACAGCAATGTTTTTGTTTTACAGGATAAAGTTGTAGCTATTCAATTCTGCAATAACACAGATGGGTGAGTTTTATTATCAGCGTTCTCTGTATGTTATGCTTCCATTTGTGTTTGTTCATTGGGATGTACATTTTGTCTTTATTGCTGATTGGGTGTTTTTAACTCTGTGTTTGTGTTTTGGCTGCCTCTGTATCTCCAGTCTCAGATTTGTGAGTGGTAGTCGGGATGGTACGGCACGAATTTGGCATTACCAACAGCAGGAATGGAAGAGTACCATCCTGGACATGACCACCAGATTACCAGGGTCAGTATGTGTACATATATGTTAACTGTGGGATCAGGCAGGTTTCTCAAGCACAGTTGTTCTTTAGAAAAATAAAATTGATTTGGTCCTTCAATTATGTGTATTTTTTACATCTGTGTTGACATATGTATTGTGTTCACAGGAGCGCTGTGATATCAGGCGATGACAAATCGACCAAGTTGGTGGTGACCATGGTCGCGTGGGATCGTTGCGATCGTTCCATCATCACAGCTGTTTCAAACTGCATCCTCAAAGTCTGGAACTCAGCAAATGGCCAATTACTGCATGTGCTGTCGGTATGTGCATGTGCATGTGAGGCAGAATTCAGTGTTCCTTTGGGTCCTTGTTTTGTAATTCTAAGGACGAGCTTCCTGTGATTATTGTCTGTTATGTACGGGTCATGTATGCAGATGTTTCTCTGTCTGTAGGGTCATGATGATGAGGTGTTTGTTTTGGAAGCACACCCCTTTGACCCGCGAATCTTGCTATCAGCCGGTCATGATGGTAACATCTACATCTGGGACCTCAGTAAAGGTCTCAAGATTAGAAACTTCTTCAATATGGTGAGATGACATAACAGATCTTCAGTTTCAATTCAAAAAAGTTCAATTTTAAAAGATAAGAAACATATACACTACCGTTCAAACGCTTGGTTTAACAAGTGGGGAAGAAGTTAAAGGGGTCATATGATGCTGCTAAAAAGAACATTATTTTGTGTATTTGGTGTAATGAAATGTGTTTATGTGGTTTAAAGTAAAAAAAACACATTATTTTCCACATACTGTACATTATTGTTTCTCCCCGCCTTTTTGAAACGCGTTGATTTTTACAAAGCTCATCGGTCTGAAAAAGCGAGGTGTGCTGTGATTGGCCAGCTATCCAATGCGTTGTGATTGGCCGAATACCTCAAGCGTGAGACGGAAATGTTACGCCCCTCACATACTTTTGATGCCGTGTCACGGCCATTACAAACGAGGCAATTATTGCATCCAGTGGGGACATAATTACTGATTATAATGACTCCGGCTTAGCGTGAGCCGGGCTAGAGTGAGCTGAGGCGGCGGGGTCGAGAACGGCGCGCCCGGCGGATCCGACGAATGAGTGGCAACCACGTAACGGATCCCGGGCTGGATTACGCTTCGTCCACGGTGAAAGTTGATGTATTCCCTCAGCGACCAGCACAGATCAGCTCTAGGCATGACGAAGCGGATATCGTCCTCTTTTGGAAGACTAAACGAAGTAGTTTCGCTTTCACAACGAAGCACACAGCGTCTTCACGACATGGCTGCAGCGTCAACAAAACTACAGTGAGACTAAAAGTTACACCTTATTTCTTTGTGTGAACATTTGGGCGGCGTTATGCAAATCTTCCCACATAGTGAGGTAGATATGTGGGGGCGTGTTAGAACGAGCCGCTTTAGGTAGGTGTGGCTGACTCTGAACTTTTATAAAGAATATCTCTTTGGATTTGAGACTTTAGTCTTTGCAACTTTACATATCTTCGTTATGCACCAAGAGCTTGTAACACTCCAAAGAGAAAGTAAAAATTGAAATCGCATCACATGACCCCTTTAGTACTTTTATTCAGCAAGGATGCTTTAAATTGATCAAAAGTGACATAAAAGGCATTTATAGTGTTCCAAAAAAGACTTATGTTTCAAATGAATGCTGTTTTTAAACTTTATTAATCAAAGATTCCTAAAAAAATGTATCACAGATTTCACAGAAATATAACTTTTCAACTGTGATGATGATAAGAAAGAATCATGTGACATTGTAGACTTGAGTAATGGCTAATGAAAATTCAGCGTTGACATCGCAGGAATAAATTAAACATTCATTTATAATCAAATAGAAAATGGTTATTTTAAATTGTAATAATATTTCACAATATTACAGTTTTTAATTCATTCATCATTTAATTCAATATCATCATCAAATAAATGCAGCTTTGGTGAGCATAAGAGACCTCTTTCAAAAACAATAAATTATTTTATCAACCTCAAATTATTGAACGATAGTGTATAATACAGTCTAGATTCTAGATGTTGATAGAAATACTGCTCATCACAGAAATTTAATTATTTTCTCTCTCTATTTTTCTGTGTTAGATTGAGGGCCAGGGTCATGGTGCTGTGTTTGACTGTAAATTTTCAGTGGATGGACAGCACTTTGCCTGCACAGACTCTCATGGTCATCTGCTCATCTTCGGATTTGGGTGCAGTCAGCCTTATGAAAAGGTATGTTTGTGTCTCAGATGTGTGGTATTCTAAACCTTTTGTGCTGTTGATTGAAACCACTCACATTTGCTTCACTTTCAGATTCCAGACCAAATGTTCTACCATACGGACTTCCGGCCACTGATCCGGGACTCCAATAACTTTGTTCTAGATGAGCAGACGCAGCAGGCACCCCATCTTATGCCTCCACCTTTTCTGGTGGACGTAGATGGGAACCCCCACCCACCACGTTACCAGCGCCTGGTGCCAGGCAGAGAAAACTGCAAAGAGGAGCAGCTTGTGCCACAGATCGGCTACATGGCTAATGGTAAATTTATCAAGTTTAACATCACAGTATTTATACATCGATGTAGTAATAGTAATTATTTTGAAGATTGCCTCTTTTGTTTGTAATGATCATATAATTTTGCACAACTAATTATAATCAAATTAATAAATAATTTGTGTAGTAGGAATTTTGAAAATATCCTGCTTTGTTCAATCTGTAGCTTAGGGCTCCAGACAAAAAAAAATCACTTAAAGAGTCATTGGCTCCTATAAGAATCAAAAATAGAATAATAATAGTAATAATAGAAACATGTTTTATTTCTTTTGTTTCTTTTTTTTAAACACCTTGACATTTCATACTGTCATGTGTTTATGTCTGCCCTCCTTTTACAATATCAGCATTTGAATCCATCTTGTAGATGTCCTGGGAACTAAGGTTCACTTAAAGTGGGAACTGAACGTCTTTTCCAACTTGAGAACTAAATACAGTCACAAACAATTGTTGTATTACACAGAATCTGTGCCAATAGCACGGACCATAACTATGTCAGCTTCACTTGGCCATTGATTGTAGTTTGGGCTGAAATTGATCTTTAGCTCCTTGCATTCTTTCTTATCATGTAGACAACAGGTTAAGTAAAACCATGAATATGCAATATAGCGCATAAATTTAGCAAAATGCTCCTCTTTATAGTTGTTTTTTACAGCGGACCAATGAGCTTAAAGACGCCGAATGGTTATTCTGAGGTTATGTGGCATTGATTACAAGCTTTACACATTTTCCGCAGTTTGAAGCACTGAATGAACGAGTACATGAGACATTTCACAGGGTTCGTACGGTCATGAAAAACCTGGAAAAGTCATGGAATTTTAAAACACCAATTTCCAGGCCTGGAAAAGTTTTGGAAAAATAAAGAAACCCAGAAAGTTTTGGAAAGGTCATTGAAATCTATTTCACAAAACTCTGTATAATAGAATTGTGTTTAATCAGGTCCTGAATTTCGGTGCGGGATTGCGAATAGGCTATATCGCATAGTTTTACTCATTCCCGCAGCTTTTGACTTTAAAATGATATTCACACATTCACACACATTTATTCAATAACCTATAGCATGTAGGTTTGATGAGTAAATAATCAAACCTACAGACTGATCTAGCTGCTGTTGTAGACATTAAAATAGTTCAGTTTCGTTTTTAATGGCAAAAGTGGCTATATATATTTTCGTCTCTCTATTACGTTAATTTAGAAATATGTTTGGAAAATGTTTTTGTTTGTTAAATTCAAGTTTTTGTTTTTTTAAACGATCAAGCAGCCAGTGGCAGACAGTGAGTTAATCATATCCTATGTTTGATCAATTTAGCCTTCTCAAATCATCACCACTTGACTAAAATAAAATCTATAGGCCTATATAAAATGCTTAAAAAAACAATGTTAGTTTAAATGGTTAACCTAGATAAATGTGTGCTATTAGGAGCATATCCAATCGTTTGTGCAGATAAGCTAAAGCGCGCTTTGCAGGACATGGATTCGCCAGCACGATCACTTGCATTTTTTTCTTATAACAGTGGAAACAACCAGTCATTTTTGCTCATAAAGGTAAGAGTAATACATCATTCGGGACTGTTAAGGGTCTACTTTTATTTGTGTGCACTCACAATATCAGCATACGTTGTGCTTTTTTAGAAAACAAACAGGATACGCTTTCTGAATCCGTGTATCATTCGATCATTCGTTTTTTGATTTAATATTGAAAGTAGAAAAATGAGAAAACGGCTCCTTCAGCTTACATTTTCGTTTTTCGTTCATGGGTGGAAAAATGAATAAACAGCTTGAATATTTGATTTCTACACTTGGGCGGGAATTAAACGCCCCTTTCTGCTGATTGGTCCGCTGAAGATCAAACCGTGCCATCATCAGTTCTTCTGCAGTATCATGCAGCAGAATAATAGTCCTCCACTGCTGCAGTTGTATGGATTCTTAACACATTTATTGCAACTAAATTTCATCTTTTTTTCATCAAACAAACAGGCTAATGAATAGCTCAACACAACTCGTACTGGGGCAGAGTCTAGACAGGGCTTTCTTCTGTGTAGATATAAATTCTATTCTTTGCATCAGCTGGGCATGGCAGGGTATGATATGACAACTGTCTTAGCCTACCCTGCTCACCCAGTAAGTCTGTTTGTTTGTTTAATTAAGAAATTAATTAATT